GTGACGTCACACGTGACGTCACAAGAGTAAATTTAGCGGAAATATTTTTCCGCAAAGTTTAGCGAAAAACTTTTCCCGCTAAATTTAGTGGGAATATTGACAATGTTAGACGCATGGGACGTCACGTGATTTCGCACGTGACGTCATACATCACATGTTTCCTTCAATAACGTCACACGTGACGTCACGAGGGTTACCCTCGTGAGGGTTACCGTAACGAGAGTTGGGAGGGTCACCCTTACGAGGGTCGTGAGGGGAACCCTCAAGACCCTCGTAAGGTACGAGGGTTACGCTCACAAGGGTTTACCCTTATGGGGGTCACGAGTTTTACACTCAGGAGGGTCATGAGGGTTACCCTTGTGACCCTCGTGAGGGTAACCCTCGTAATCCTCGTGAGGGTAACCCTCGTGATCTTTGTGAGGATAACCGTCCTAATCCCTGTGAGGGTAACCCTAGTAACCCTCACGAGGGTAACCCTAGCAACCCTCACGAGGGAAACCCTCGTAACGTCACGCGTGACGTCATTATGGGAAACGTTATATAATGCACCGCGAGGTTCCGCCGAAGTCGACGCCGACGACGGCGACGCCGCTCATGCCGGAAACGGACGAGTAAAAGCTGCTATCTAAAAAGCAAAAAAAAAAAAAAATGAATAATGCTTATAATATTGTCGAATTAATTCGATAAATAAATACCAAAAGCTCTGGGCCACGAAAGCTACGGTGCTTGTTTGTCTGGTTTGCAAACCTACGAAACTCCGTAAAAAATAAATAATTACTCTTCCAACACCAACTGAGCATTTGTACAGCAGTCCATAAAACAAATCCTACTAAAAAAAACACTTGATTCTCGTATAAAGGGTGAACATTCCAAACTAGTACGTTAAACGCAAATTTACATCATCGTTTCAAAGTTGGTCAAACATTTATTTTAATGGTAATTTCAATGTTTGAAAGCTTTCGTTTGGAAAACCCCCGTTGAAAATGTCACTAACTCGCGGTAAATAGTCAATAAATAAAACAAATCATCATCTTATACTTTTTGATATAGTGTGAAACATGGCATACCAGTGTTAAGATTGCCATGCATAACGCGCCATTAACTCCCACAACTACTTATTCGAATGCCATGGGCACTAGCGGTGTGGGAACAGCAAGAATGAGCCTCAGGTGTCCTGCTCCACTGATCGCTTCCTACCTTTGACAAGCCTAGGGCGGCTAGTGCATCTCGAGTGCACGCGGGAGACCAAAGCACGGCGGAAGGCATGGAGCGCCTGCTCAAGGCAGGACGTTCAAAGGACACGCCCTGCTGCTCTCTCTCTGGAAGTCGCTTAAGTATCGGAATGCACTAATTAAGCAACAACGGCATGACACCCGCGCGTATATTCCACCTGCGCTCAGGAAGGGATACAAGTTTGCGCCATTTAAAAGAAGTTCTCAAGTTTTTCCGTGAACAGTACTGCATTTGCTTTATTTTAATGATTAAGAAAATGGGGAAATGTTTCCATATAAAGGTGCAATACTTGCACTAATCGCAGCCGACCTTTTTAACACTGACTCCAAACTCAAATTCGATACCTATTTTAAGTAATTACTGATGAGTGCGATGTACCGGTGCAGGGATTATGATGTGTTCATGAAAAAAAAGACAGCTCGTCCCTATGTTTATTCTTTTTGTTTTATTTAACTTCACCAACGCGCTCACGTTGAACTAAGCCTCATATATAGGAACATATTTTCTGAAAGGATAAAATACGATTGTCTAGATTTCTAGTGAATAAACGCGTAAATAGTCCTCACGGTGTGACGCTCCTGCGTCACACCGTCAGGACTATTTACCGCCTTGGAGGAGTCCGTCAGGACTCCTCCAAGGCGTTCGAACAGGGTGCCCGGATGTGTTAAATTGTCACTGTACATTTCCCCGCTGGGTTTCACAGCGCAATCGGCAACGCGAGTGGCGCTCCGCCGCAGATAAAAAGTCGACGCAAAAATATGCGCAAAGTTTTCTTTCTTTTTTTTTTTTTTTTGAGGGAGGGAGGGAGGTGGAGGGGGTTTGTAACGGGCAGCGATAAGAGTCAATATATGACTTCTTTTTATTGAACTAGTCCGCCGTGCTATTCTTCGAGGAGGGTAGCAGCAATGAAAATCCCACAGCATAAAGCATCTGTCCCATCTTTAACTCGGCTGCATAAATATGAATGCAAAAAAAAAAAAAAACATTATCTCAAGTTGTATCGTCTGTTTGCGTCCCGAATTTGTGTTTATTCTTTCCGGTTGTTTAAGTATTTACCAACAGGCTTCTTTTTTAACGTTTTCTCCAAGTTTCGTTTTCTTTAAATGGGAGCTATGTTTGATTCATGCAATCACCCGGAAATATTCTTGCGTTTCAAAATACCATGCAAACGTGCCGCAATTATTTACAGGTTGAGAAGGGCAGAAAGGTGTTATAGATGTATGCCTCCAGCGTGAACTTTGTACATCCGAAAACGCTTTGTGCGCCTCGAGCGTCCACGAGCAGTCGAAGCTTTGAGAAAGGCTATGTGCGCGTGTCGTAGGCGGGTCGAAAAACACGCCCTGTTCTCCCTTTCTCAGTTACGAAATCAGTAAATGCAATTCTCTTTGGAACGCGAAGGAAGAAACTTGATCGCCTCACTCGTTTATCGATTCGACGGTCATATCGTTAAATTGACATCAAACATGCTTATTTCACTCGTAAGTGACGCAAGAGGAGGGTAAAACAGAGATGAAAAAATTGCAAAGACGTTTAGCCCAAGCTATAGCATTTAAGTAATCAGATGCTCCCGAGTTAGCGTGTACTCTTATCATTTCCGTTCCCGGCCGTTTTTATTTATTTATTTTTGGGCTTGGGGGGGGGGGGGGGGGGGGGGGACACCTGCATTGATCGCAGAGCTAGAGTCTTCCCACTTTTCTGCCGGTAATAGGTGCACGGCCACGTTTCGTTTAATGAACAGGTCCATCCATATTTTAGGTTGTGCCTGGCCGTGGAAGCATTAGCTTCAATTCTAGAGAATATTTACGAGAGGCTATATTATTGGTCGTTGTTCCAGCGCATGCTTATAACTAGAAAACTAGAACCTATTCATCTTCCGCCAAGAAGAATGAGTCTGATCAGATGAAAAGAATTTTGAACATGCCTAGTAGCGCATTCTTCCTAATCGAAAATATTTTTTTTTTTTTGCAGGAGGCAAAAGGGTAGTTTTAGCAAGCGCTACGAACAAAGAACAACAACATGGCGCCCCATGGCAGGAATGCCTGGTCAAAATGAGTTTTCGTTCACATATATAAAATGAACTGGCATGCGCATAGCAGTTCAAATCAAATAACAATGCACCATCGTCAAGGCAAGGGCGAATCGCACTATATCGTCCCTCAAGTGGAAGCCATCAGCAACATATACTCAAGCAATTCAATCGCTTTGTTCTGAGATTTATACACCGTATGACTATAAGAAGCATTTTGTTCGCCATATATCGTAAGTTCACAGTGTGCTGAAAACGGCCTCCTATGTATCGCCTGCCTATACTTCGTCTCACCCTACGATGGACTAAAAGCAAAAGCTACGGACCGCCAGATCCAATTCGAGCCACTTAGAAATTGTGCGGTTCTTCGCTTCGATGCACGTTTCGGTGCCCGCGTCTCGAATCACTGATGAGGGGACGGGTGGACAGTAGTTCGAATCGAAGAGCACTGAGTGACTCAACAATTTCACATCTCAAAGAAAGCCACGACATATAGACTCTTTGCAGCGTCGAAGCTATAGAAATGATGCGGTACTTTTGGATTCGAGCATTATTCGTCTACCCCTAATCAATGTTAAGCGTGTAATAGTATAGCGTGGAACGTGATTGGACCTGGCGGCCTATGGCTTTGGCCTTTATTCCATCGTAGGATGAAACAAAGTATAGTAAAACATTCCTCAAGGGGCGTGATGCGCATTGTAATGCACAAACATATATTACAGCCTATGAAGATAGTGTAACGGGCAAAACGGAAGATTATCTTGAGGTAGAGACAAAACAAGTTCAATAGAACGACGGTACCTAGAACACCGATATGATTTTGAAGACAACGATGGGATGCCAAATATTCACCGCACAACCCCACCCGACGTTCGCGCTGGCAAGTGTATCACTTTCGAATTCTGCAGTGGCACATATTACGGATTAACTGTTCTGCCGATTTGCACAGAAAAGTGCTCCTCTTAGAGTTAATCTACGGATGGTTATTTATTGACGCGTCATTTGTAGTTTCTCTCACCTCGAGACAAAAATGAAGTCCCGGTGTGACAATTTGAGTTTTCATCTAGACAAAGGTCTTACGTCCGTCGAATCATACTTACATCAAGTAAACAGACGTTAATCAGTTGAGGCTCAAGTGGGTTGTCCGAGTGATGTTAGAATGTACTCGAATATTGCAGCGATACCAAACTAGAGACAACGTGTGCCGGAGACTGTGTTTTTCCCTATGGTGGCGCCCACTTTTGAATGGGTCTCATTCTGGTGGATTTTCTTCAATTTGTGTGAAGCACTGACTGAACGCAACGAATGATAACTCTTGTGTAAAGTGTGAGCGTTATTAAATCAGCTGTGATATTGGCCTGCAGACCACCGTGGACAGTGTCAGAGTGTCGTACCCGTCGCGAATTGTATCATCCGCTCCTTCAAACTCTCGAAGTCTGTTTCGGCCATGCCCATCTTCAAGAGTGCCACCTGACGTATTTCAGTCGCCACCGTGAAAGAAGAAAAGAAAATACTGAAAGAACTTGTCTCGGTGTATGATTTATATAACAATGAGCACTGCTCGGGTGTCCCTGAATAACAGAAACCAGCTGCGCGACTGCAGTCCACCATAGACACCATTGCCAAGCCTGAAATTTCGCGCGTCGTTCGACACCAATTTCAGCACATTTAAGTGAGTGCCTGCTAAGCACTTCAGCTGTTTACGTTCAAAAATACTATCGCTTGAGCACATGCATCCAAGATGAGTGAGCGCAGCCATCACTCAATGAACACATGGCCCCAGCACGTCGGATGTAAATTGTGCTCGAGTAAATTTTACCCATGCATTTTGTAATGTGAAAAATATCAATCTTCTTTATAAAAATTGTTTGTTCTAAAAACAAAAAAGTTCAGCATTGATGCTGAAAAATTTATAAGGCTGTATATACGCCAGATAACGCTGTACATAGGCCGTATATAATCATATAACGTTTGATATGGACAGATATTCCAAAGATATAAGATTTCTATACGGGTTACCGCTTATTTCGTTAAGGTCCATTCAGGACAAACGGGCCGGCCTTTTAGAAGGAGCGTCTTAGCTAAGACCGGGTGAAAAAAAGCACTGCCAAGCCTAGCGCACGAGCGGAGTGGTGTCTCAAGTCGAGTCTCAAGCGCTCGTGTGCCACAGGCTTGGCAGGCTTTCTTTCACCCTGTCTTAGCTCAGACGCAGTTTCTAGCAAGCCGGCCCAGGTCATTGTACTTTTGAGTCCAGACAAATAGTCTGTTTTGGTTTATAGTTTGGGCCATACTATTTGGGATTTTGTTGAAGGAGAGGTTGTGTTCTTGTAAGAGTGAAAACTAAGGACCATAGATATCGTATCAAATGTGGAAGGGTGCCAGTTTAAACTTCTATATTACATCCTTTGCCACTCCACCTCCTGCGGCCGCGGGGTAGGTTAGTAGAATAGGATGAGATGAATGCGAGCTTCCCAAGGACACGTTCCAGGAGTTTATTGAATTTAAAGGGGTCAAATACGCTTTTCCAACTTTTTCCTGTTAGGTTTCCTCCTCAACTCATAAATCGCGCATTCTGGCGAACAGTTCAAGAAGACGAAAAGAGGGGAGTTCCCCTTTGCTTGGAATCTCGTTTGTATACCCGTACTGAGCCATTGTCCCCCTAGAAGATTAGCCCGTCGCTCAAAATTCACACAAAAGTTGCTTTCCCAACTCCGTTCACCTCGAAGCTGACAGTGCCGGGGAAGCTACGTACTCGTTGGGCTAGCCACACTTTTGTCACGTGATCACGCTCTCTCGCGCAGAGAATGAGGTCAGGTGATGAAAGGGAGGCGGCTGATTGGTCGGGCAAGCGCTTAGTTTCCACCACAATGTCAGCTTAGGGGTGAAGGGAACAAGGGATGTCCGGTATCGTGTGACGTGCGTTTGGACCCGGTGACGGGCTTTTGGAACCGCGGATGCATCACAGTGAAAGGGCAGAGAGCATACGAAGGGGAGGAGGTACGAAATAGTCCGTTGTGTTTTCAGATTTTCGCACTGAAAGTCAGGCTTTTGACTTTGTACCTTTTTTTCTTTTGGCCCACTGAACGAAGTGCTATTAGGAAAATTTCAATCTAAAGTGATTTATACCAGCCCAAAATTCGTTTCATGGGCCTTTTACAGTTTCAACGTTCATCAAAGCGACGCTTTCGTGAAACTTTTTAGTGGGACAAATTGTATGGCCGATATTAATGGCACCATTGCCAAGTCCAAAGGAATAAAATTTGATTGATACAAGCGCGCTTCATCGGTTTATTTAGCATACGTTAACTCATGGATATTATTTCTTTATCTTTTTAATTTTAGAGAAAACACCGCGAAATTAAGCGCTCAATTTCTGGGAATCGGGAATCAAACAAAAATGAACTATTACAAATTGCAAATTTTCGGCAAAATATAAACTCCGAGGAACAGACTCCGAATATGACGAATAATGAAGCCCGAAACACGGAATCCCCGCTATAAGGCAGAGAACAAACAAAATAGAATACTTAGCCCTGTGGGCTCCTCGCGTCGTCTCCGCTGTGATTCGTCGTGAGGCAAATAATTCGCGACTCTACGCCAACGTAACCCAGCAGAGAAATATTACTTTTAAGCGCCAAACACATGGACGACGAATGCCGTCGTCGCGCGGCGATTTGCATAGCAACCGCCGTTGATTCTGTGACGTGGCGGTGCGTCATAGGGCTACGTCACCGCGTGAGCGTCAGTTGCTACAGTAACCGCAGCGCGGCACCCGTTTTTCGTCGTTCACCTGTAGGGGGTTGTAAAAACAGCAAACTCGCGCGTGTCGAAATGTTCAGCGGAAACTTCCGCGGACTGGGGCGTTAGAATGTAACACAAAACAAAAGCGATTACATTTAGCTGTTTGAAGTTGGGAACGAACCAACGCGTGTCGTTGACCCAGTGTCGAAGTAATACAGCTGTTGATGACACAGCTCATCTACGTACGCTTCAGGTCTTGCAAATCTGGTTCCCGCGCGCTAGCGGGGCCGACACCTGATGTCGCCGAGATCCATTCTTTTAATACAGGGTGCGAGGGCACATTAAAATTCGAGGCTGTGACCTCACGTCATGGTGGAGGCGCTGCTATTTCCTTCAGGCGTATCGAGATCTTGCGCACGCGCAGTGTGAACAGCTGGTGGGAGAAAAAACAACAACAAAAAAAAAAAGCGGACTTGTTCGTAACCAGCGAGTCGGCTTATGGGACGAAGGGTAATATTCATAATGGCACTGGTTTTTTCGCAGTTGTCGCTCAAGACTGGGAACTTCGAATGTGGCCCGGTCCTGGTTCGGTGACTCGGGGTGGAGCCTTATTGGTCCGCTGTCCTGTTCCAAGTCACGTGGCGCATCACGTGATTGTGACGGCTTGGGAGGAGCACGACACGCCCGGTCTCATCACCCCACGTTCGCCAACTGGTGAGAACGAGTTATATTTTTATCGTGGTCTTAAGTTTCCAACATTGCCACGTCAACGTTTTTAACACAACAGAAAGACCATGTTAGCTAAAGAACTTTTTTTTTAATAAAAAATGCGTTTATGGGTTGGTTTTTTTTTATGCGACCGCCCTAGAGTGTGAAAAAAAGCCTTACACGCAAGCCAAGGTAATAAAAAACATATATAGTCCATGGAAGGCAGTGCCTAAGCATTCCAAGGATACAGAAGCCATACTTAGTCATAATAATTTCTACATACTCAAAACTATGCACGATTCATCGCAACCGGCGTGATTCATCACAGGACTCAGCGGCAATCGATCCCCGGATCATAAAATCTGGACTCCGACGCATTTGCTTCGTTCCACATGAGGAAGATAAATAGTGCGCAAAAAGATGACTAAGTATCGTTCACCGCAGATGGTCGCCTGCTGTAGCACACGTCCCTAAACGGCGAATGGGACATACGGCCGGTTGCACCAACGTCGCTTTCCTTAAAAAGGAAATCTTCTCAAAGTCGACTTACCGTCCTAAACACAGCTCGGCTAAGCACGGGCTTAAATTCAGTTTGCCACAATATTAAGTTGGGTTTACAGACGTGCCCCTAACGGAACGCTGGTTTTGCATAAATAAAGAAGGAAAAGGCAAAGCGAAATATGGAACGCTCAGAGGAACGTATACGATTGGCGGGGAGGAACATTCACGCTATGTAAACAAACTTTTTCCCGCGGTAGTCGGAGCCGGCGGCTGCTTTTTGCTGTGTTTCTTCGGTGAGTAACGAAGGAAGTATCTCCAATTCTATCATTTTCATGCTTGCCTTTCAAAAACAGGTGTCAAAGCTTTAACTAAACTCGAAATATATTCAACTATGTGATTGCGTGTTTAACATATAATTATGGGGGAATATTTTGACACTGACTTTAAATTTTCATGCTCACATTTTATATTTCTGTGCTGACATATCAGTCAGCTTTGATATTAGACTGTTTGCGTCTCCGCTCTAAAGGGAACACTTTCCATATGCAGCATGACTGCTAACTTGAGGTCTTTACATGTAACCTCCTAACCTAACCTACTGACTATCTGTATACTAGATCAGTCAGTGTGGTTCTGCTAGCTCATAGAATAAAGTATAGTTAATTCTAGATCAGATAGTTCAAAAAGTGGACTGTTTTAGGCTCTGTGTTTCTTACATGTTTTAAATACTTACTCAGTGTTGTTGAGTAAAGTTTCCGCATATCGATAAAGTTCCACCTTTTTGTGGAAGTCGTGTGTTTTATTATTTTGGTTGAATTAGGCTATTCTGATTTCAATGCGTGGGCGTTGAGGGTTTCTATTTCTAACCATACGTTAGTTCTGCCGTTTAGCGAATGAATACAAGTTGTGCTTTACACCGAGACCCTTACATAGTTTACTTTCTAATGATTCACCTGTTCTGTCTCAGATCTAAATTATGAAGAGCAACACTGAGATTATCACATCGTGCTTATGATCTTTATTACCTACAATCCTTTAAAATAAATAATTCGGATTACCAAGTCAGCCTCTATTATTATTTCATGTTTGCGTTAGTACCTGAATTATTTTCTTAATAAATTCGATAAACAAATGTTTGAACAAGCAAGAAACGACGCTAGGGCTGGGGCCCAGTTGTTTGACAGGAATAATTTCACCCTAAATATTACTAAATTGTGTAGAGCAACCCAAAACAAAAATCCTAGTTTTTTTATGCTAACTTCACCCCACAACACAAGTGCACTGCAAGAGAGCTACTTCAAAAATAAAAGTGAATATTGCATTTAATTCTGATAATGACATTGAATATATCGAAATACAGATATGATTATATCACGATTTTTAGAACCTACCATATTACACAACGTCTGGTAATATGTGTACCTAGAAGGGCATGACCTATATGGCACAGTACACTGCGTGCGTACCTATGTGAACAAACAGACGGCGGCGGTCTTCGAAGCACAAAAACTTTCACTAGTTCATCACATCGTGCCGACGAAAACAGTGGTCTCTTCGCACTAACCGCCGAAGTCTGCCCCAATACAGTGCTGAACGAATCTCGCATCGTAGTTGTTATGATATGTCGTCGCCACGAAGGAAGGTATACAGCCAAATTTATCTACAACGCGCGCTCACCAGAAAAGTTACAATTCTAGAACGACACAGTTTAGAAAGCTAAAATTCTACTTGGGAGAAAAGGAACTTTACTGTAGATTGCCCAAAAGTTCTAAAAACGGAAGAAATTGCATTTTCGTTGTTTTATTATTTAGAAAATTCGTTCGCCGCAATATGATGCGAACCGCAGAAGATTTGACAATCAGCAGATCGCCAAGATCATGGACTACCGCTATTCAACACGCCGATCAGAATAAAGGATGTGCTTTGAAATTTAAAATACACGAGCTTGTATATAGCAATACCTTACAGGTATGCGAAAATAACTACATACAAATAAGCACATTGCCAAAAAAAAACTAACGAGAAGGCAAATGTGAACGCCACAGCTGCGTACCTGGCCTAGTTAGTGCTAACACGCACTCAAGTGGAAAGTCAGCTTAAAATCGAGGGTCGATACGATAAACACTTCACACGACAATGTTTTCCATCCTTGTCACTATCGAAAGTCACTATGTGAAGACTCTTACGCTGCTGGAGCCTAAAGCACTTTTTACAACCACTTTTGTCCACAGCGTTTACCGCCACAAACAAGTCGCCATGCTTTCACTTCGGGATCCAAGCACAATTAAAAGCAAAGCGCCTAAAGTTGAGAGCTCACAATAGGCATGGTCTAGTGCTAGATTTAGCGATAAGTGATTTTTGTGCAACAGGACTAAACCAAAACTCAGGTTAGGTTAAGAAGGAAGCTTCAATTTGCAGTAAGCGGTGTTAGTGCAACCGACCCTTTGTCGAGCATATTTCGTACAACGGTGACCGTCGACTACGAGTCATACTTTGTCCACCCTACTTAGTCCGCAAGCGCCCGTTGGCGGCGAGTAATACTGAGTCAAACCTACCCAGTCCATGGGCAACCTTCGGCGGACATAGCTGACTACCGAAGGCCCAATCGTAGGTCCCCAAGTAGACTCCCGACATATCGGGTTGAATAATAACGGCCCAAGGAATAGTGAAGTAGGCCTATAACGTCACAAGTTTAGACAACGCTCAACACATAGCGTAGAGGACACAATACACCTCTTGCCCCGTGATTACTTCAATTTCCATAACATTTTATTCACGCCACGACAGCACGAAGGACCCAATGTCCTACAATCACCAACGAAAGGAGTGAAATCCGCGGACCTTCTTATTAGAACATGCTTGTAACACGCTCCACTCCCAAAGAAAAATTAAACTTGTCTTAATTATTCTGAAAAACCCAGTGGGCACATGAGCGTGCCGTGTGTCCAACGCGTTCTAAACTACCCGGAGTTTCACTGTAACCAAGGTTAGCAAAATATAACGCACGCATACTTCACGAACGACACGTTCTGTGCTATTCTGTGTTATGCCCTTGGTCCCGAATTACATAGCTGTAATTAGGTGGTACGAATAACTCCTGGAAGGGTGCTTCCCGGGACACTACAAAACCCCCTCCCGCCCCCTTCTCCCCCCCCCCCCCCCAACCTCCAAAAAAGTACATAAAAACAGCGTTTGTTTTACTGCAAAAATACATACACATCGCCTAACGCCCATTTTTTATCAACTCTAGCGCTACCTGTCTGTACCAGGTGCCACAGCTCAAGAAGCAACCGTTTTTGAAATCAAAAGCTACAAGTGATTCCTCCTAAAACAAATTATGGGGAAAGTAGGCCCGTTTTCGCCCGTTTTCGGTAACTGACACCATTAAACACCATATACTTGCCGCCATTTTCTCAATGAAAAATTCAGAAACTGACATAGATATTTTGAGTAGCATAACGATTCTTTCCTAATCATTGGCATCTAGTCGGTACCTCTAGCTCTACATTTGGGCGGAGAATGAGTTTCTGTGATGTGTAGTTTATTTTTTAGGTGAAAAACCCCTTAAATGTTTTTGTTTTTGTTTTTTTTGGGGACATCTTGTTCAATATCTAGCAATACTTCGTTATCCACATTGTTTTGGCTGAAACTCGTGCAATTTTTCCTTCCTTCAGAAAATCGGAGTATATTCAGAATCGGAATGTAATGTATTTATCTTTTTATCACAATTTAGATAGTTTTCCTCCTCCGTTTTACTTTCAACGTTTGTTTACGAATTCTGGACGCAAATATTTTCACTCAAGCGCTGGTAAAGAAATTACAAAAATACATATAAATTTGAACAAGACGATCTCAGATACTGTTCTATCTTAAATGACAATTTTTCGTAAACCTTAGCACAAAACCAAGAAATGACAACTTGCATGTGTCAGCTGGCGAAAGAGCAATGAAGTAAACAATGTGGCGGTCTTTATGAAACCAGTCAGTGAAAAAAAAATTACTTCCAACTTTCAAAAGTGCTAAGCAGGATAGAAAAAAAAGTCTGACTTCGGCTGTTCACGCTGGTGTATACGAGTCAGACACCATCCACAAGAGACCCTTTTTCAAGGACCCTATCGAGCAGTATTGGGAGGCCCCATTTCGGCTGCACAAACTGCGTGATTGGATCCGAGTAAACATCAAACTCTTACGCAACGCGCGTTCTCTGTACTGGCAGAGACCGAACGCCGACGTAATCATCGTGTTTAATAATTGCTCTGAGTGCGGGCCCAAAAATCGGCAAAGTGTGGCAATTGCCGAAGCAGCCACAAGATGTCGTACATTTCTAGAAGGGCGTATTGATTTGAATCTTTAAAATATCTTGGAGTTGCTTTCATATTCTGGAATTATACCGATTCCCGAGCAATGAATAAACCACGTAGGACGCTTTAACTAAAGCAATCTGTTTTGTACCTGATATAGATTAAATTTACATTTCAAATTAAAGGTTTTCCTAAGATTGCTGG